GCGGGGAGGCACCCCCCCCCCCCCCCCCCACACACACACCCCCACACCCCCAAAATAATATTCTGTCAAGATTTACTCACCCTCACCGTTTTTCTTTCTTCTGGAGAAATTGAGAAATGTTCATGCTGCTCTATTCCATAGAATGTCAGTTTTCTTTGTTATTATTAATATCTGGTTTGACACTCTCCTGACATCATGCAAGTGTATTTTAGTTCTTTGTAGTACAAGAAACACCACTATAATGAATTGTGGGACTTGCTCATGATGATAAATGGTGTAGACCACCTCTCTGTAAGTGGGACGTGGCCCATGCGTCTAAGATTTGTGTGTATACTCCATTACCCATATCTTCCAACCTGACAGCACGTCCCTTCTCGCCCAATTACCCCAGTGTGCAGTGGCCCAGAGGCCTCCAGGACGTCCCAACCATGAAATCCACTGTTCCAAATTCTGTTTCTATCTCTCACATTTTTCACATTTCATTATTATTCTGATGTAATCTAGCCTTCGTTTATTCTCTTATTTCTGTTGTCCTCATTTGTACAGTCCGTTCTACTGTTCTGATTGTTTTTCCTCTGAATCTCTGGCCACCACATCTGCAGTAACAATTATTCTCAATAGTAGTAATTCAGCTACATGTCCTCTTGTTAGTTTCTCACCAGTATCATCCTCTCTCTCTCTCTCTCTCTCTCTCTCTCTCTCTCTCTCTCTCTCTCCTTCGAAACAGATATCCTCCTTGATTATTATGTAGCCCACTCCAGTCGGAAATTCACCACTTAGCTGACACACACAAATTATCCCAATAATTTGCCTGTCAGGGGAAATGGTTCAGGGAAAGAAGAACCCGGCGTTTCTATAAAAAAAAAACTCCTAAGGATTTTTCAGTTTGGAGAGAGAAAAGCTGAATATCAAATATGAAAATAATAAACATTCTGATTGTAAATTGTCTGTAAGTACAAACCCTGTGACTACACATTCTGTATTTATGCACCAAATTGTTTGCTATAATGTTGTTGGTATTGTTGTTATTGTTTTATATAGCAGAAATTAAAGAAATATTAGATGAAAATCTTAAACTTAAAATTAAAATTAGGTCGGCGCCAATAGCCTCGTTGGTAGCACGCCAACATATAGTGGCTGTTGCGCTTCGGGCATCCTGAGTTCGAGTCCCGACTTGTGGACCTTTCCCGTTCCTGATCTCTCTCTCCCACTTTGCTTCCTGTCTTATATGCTGTCCTATCATAATAATAAAAATAAAAGGCAAAAACGCCAAAAATAAATCTTTAAAAAAATTTAAATTAGAAATGCTGCCATAGCAGCTAACTGAAATAAATTAAGTTTAAGTACTAAAATGACTAAAACTGAAATTAAAATGAATAAAGATAAATTGATATATATATATATATATATATATATATTAGTATAAATAATACTAAAATAACACTGGCATGGTAACTGCAATTACTTTACAGTTAGGATAATAAACAATATTACTTGGCATAAACAATCTTTATTCAGATAATTTTTAATAATGAAAATGTTTAATGAACACTTTAAAATAATTTTGTTGTTAACGCATCTTCATAATATCAAGCCCAAGAACATGGTCTCAAACATCGTTGTAGTGCACTGCTTCTTTTGACTTGTTGCTTTATTTACACTTAATTTAAGATTATTCAAATTTAGTTAGAACCAGTTGTATCTAACTAGTACTAGTTTAAATGATCATAACCAAATGATTTTCATGATGTTCGGTTCCGTTAACTGCTACATCCTTCCACCAATGTTATGTAGAAATGAAACGCACAACATGACTAAATCCAAATTTGTAGTTCTCAATATAGTCGATGTGAATGGCTAACCTATTCATTATACCTGAAATTATCAAGTGAAGGAAACAATTCCCTTGGCAATCACCACTAAAGAGAGTCCTTTGGCAAGGTAGTTTTATTGTGGGCACACACACACACACACAAAAACAAACAAACACATTCAGATCCTATCTAACCCTGAGCAGTTATTTTTACTGCACTGTTCCCTTGGGTTAAATATGTCTGCACATATAGTAATTATTCTACTTGCGTATCTCACCCCACAGAGAAAAGAACGGACAAGTCTGCTGTTTCTGGTGCCATCCGTCTTCAGATCAGTGTGGAAATTAAGGGTGAAGAGAAAGTGGCCCCCTACCACGTCCAGTACACCTGTCTACATGAGGTAGCTCACAGACTACCAATGTCTGCATCAAACATGTACAGATCTCTCATTATCTGTCAGTGGATGTTGGTCTTTTAGTCACTAATATTTAGTTTCTGTTCTTTCTTGTAGAACCTCTTTCATCACATCACAGATGTCCTCGGTCAGGGTGTGGTGAAAATCCCAGAAGCCCGTGGTGATGATGCCTGGAAAGTGTACTTTGACGATGTGCCACAAGAGATAGTGGATGAATTTGCAATGCGCTATGGGATTGAATCCATCTACCAGGCCATGACGTATGTATTAGTCCACCCTCCATACTACCATCAGTTGTCTTCATATATCTTCATTCCGTCCACTAAGCCATCTGTTTTTCTTTGCTGCATTCTTACTGATTTTTCATTAATTTTTTCTTAATATCTAATTTCATCTTTCTCATCTAAACACGATGCATGACGCCAGACCACTGTATTGCTTTATCAGAACAGATTGTAACATTACAAGACTTGTTAACCAAGATTTGGATCCTTTGCAGTGAATGGTGGTGGTGATGGAGATTCCCCCCTTTCATGTAAATGCTTTAAGTACCCAGAAAAGCGCTATATAAATGTAACTAATTATAACTAATTATAATTAATTAATTATAATTATATTATTATGGGTGCCGTCAGAATGAGAGTCCAAACAGTTGATACAAACATCACAATAATCCACAAGTAATCCACACCACTCCAGTCCATCAGTTAACATCTTTGTGAAGGAAGCGTTATTATGGATTGTGGACTCATGTTTTGGCCAAAGGCGAGAGTTTAAAGTAAAAACATCGTAATGATGGATTTGATTCTTACGAACATGCAGCTTTTCACTGATTTGTTGATGGACGGGAGCTTTTATTGATGGACTGGAGTCATGTTGATTGCTTGTGGATTATTGACTTGTTTTTGTCCTCTGTTTGGACTCTCATTCTGACGGCACCCATTCACTGCAGATGATCCATTGGTAAGCAAATGCTACATTTCTCCAAATCTGTTCCGATGAAGAAACAAAATAATTTCAAGCTGATTTTTATTTTTTGGTGAACTATTCTTTAATGCTATATTCATTCAATCAGATCATCCATTACTGATGGAAAATATACAAAGCCATTTTTCTGTAATCATTTTTTATCAGTTATCGATTTATCAGTTATTTTATCTTTCATAGTGTAGTACACAATTATGGTTAACATAAAGGGATGATTCACCCAAAAATGAAAATTGTAATCATTTACTCATCCTCATGTCATTCCAAACCCATAAGACTTCTTCAAAACACAAATGAAGATATTTTTAAAGAAACCTTGATAGGTGTATATACCTCCATCAAAAGTTCAGTTAACTAAAACTTAGAAAATCCAAAAAGGGCATAAAAGCGTCATCAAATGAATCAAGCCATTTAATCCAAGTTTTGTGAAGAGATATGATTGCTTGATATGATGCACAGATTTAATGCTTTTTACATATAAACTTGAGAAAGTCGAGGAGGTTATGAGCTTTTGCACACATTATAAGTCAGTTTACCTTATAATCGTACTGAAGCAATGGCACACGACAAGATATTATGGCAAGATTTTAGCATCTAAAAAACTACAGCCAGACTATAATAACTTTGCCAATCAGTGAAGGTGAGCTAGGGATGAATAAATGTAGTCTTCTCCATGGCAGTAGCTGGATCTTGAATAGCAAGGGCAGTAAAGAAATGAACTCCTGAGTGCTGTTCATGTCTGTGGTTGTTAATGGCTTGAGTGTGAGTCGGTCTCGATCAGGCTTCAGGAGTGTGAGGAGATGCTCATTAACGGCGCACATCACTCAAATAAAGCACACGCAAGCGACCATATCTCACACCGAATGGGCCACAAGGCCAGTTGGAGCAATGACAGATCCATCTAGCCAGCTAATCAGCAGTGATTTAACTAGGCGCCTCTCAGACAGACCTTTTGTAGAGAGCCATTGCCACTGAGAGAGAGCCAAAAGTGTAGAGCTCATCTCAGTTCAATATTTTGTTTTGATTGATTTATTTTGCTCTGTGCAAACTGTTCGCTCTGTTTATACTAAAAACTAAAACCATTGAAAAAAAAAATTATTACTTGAAGTAAAGTAAACTTTAACTGAAATAAAATATAAAAAAACTGAAGCTATTTTCCAAGGCAACATTTTCATTTTTGTGTAGTTAATATGTAACAACAAAAACAAAAAAAAATGACAGAAACGGACAACAAAATTATTGAAAATGTAAACTTATATACTGTATATTCATATATATAGCTTGTTGCAGTGCATTCTGCGATTAAAAGAATAAATGCGATGCTGCTTTCAAAATGATCTAAAGACTGCATTTTTGAAGATAATATGATCCTTTTAGTATGAACATGCTTTTGTGTACAGACCGTAAATGCTGCCTAGCTAGGTTTTGGAATAGAGTGATTGTCTTTTCTTTTCTTTTTTCCACAGAGTGGATATATAGTGGATGTGTTTGAATTGAAGCACTTTTATCCTCTGCATCTTCCTCCTCTTTGTGCATACAGGCACTTTGCATGTCTCTCGTCTAAGTATATGTGTCCCGGGGTCCCTGCTGTGATGAGCACCCTGCTGGCCAACATCAACGCCTACTACGCCCACACCACTGCATCCACCAATGTCTCCGCTAGCGATAGATTTGCTGCATCCAACTTTGGGGTATGTTCAAATATCACACAACATGCAGACTGTGAAGAACACATACATATCTAGGTTATTCTGAAGGTCTGTTCACACCGTCTGCTTTTTTTCATATAAAAAACATGAACAAGATTTTATTTATTTATTTATTTTTTTAGATGCCAAGTCATTAATTAGCTATGTAAATGGAAGAAGTACGGAAGAATAAGTTATTGAAAAGAAGCACAGAAAATCCTATTTTTGTGGTATTTCTGCATTTTGTTAATTGAGATGACTTTTCATATAAGGACTTAAATAGTAGACACAGTTTCAATGTGTCAGCACTAAACCAGAGAACATGTTCAGGTCCTCAATCAGGAAATCGAAAGACCATTTTGAAAATGGAGGTGTCTATTGTGGCAGTTTTTTGTCTTGTATTGACCGGCCAGCTAAGTACAGCACCATGGGATTCACGATTCAATATCACCATTATGGATTGGAACACTTCAGCTAACTGCAAGCTGTAATTATAGTGTCAAGACAACAGTGTCAGTTGTTCGGTGTTATTCTTATATTAAGCTGCCTATGAAAAATACACTTGTTAATGCCATGTTGTCTTTAGCACTTAGAGCGTTGGTTGACTCAAAATCATTACTTACTCAAGCTCATGTTCAGTCTGTATGACAATAAAAATTGGATTTTGATTTATATTATCAATCTCTAAAAAGGACCAAAAAGCACCATAATGTATCTTAATAGTTGTCCATAGGTCTTGTGCACTATATGTATGTGTCCAGATGCATTAGAAAAATATTTCCAGTCAGTGTCCTAGATGAAAATGAAAATCTTGCTTAATTTTTCTCATCTTGCAGAAAGAAAGGTTTGTCAAGCTGTTGGATCAGCTGCACAATTCCCTGCGCATTGACCTCTCAATGTATCGAGTGAGTGTTGGTGGCATAAACTTTTTTTTTTTTTTCATTTTCATTTTAGATCTTACATTGGTGATTCTCAGTGACTTTTCTCTTTCTCAGAACAACTTCCCTGCAAGCAGTAAGGAGCGTTTACAGGACCTCAAATCTACAGTGGACCTCCTGACCAGCATCACCTTCTTCAGAATGAAGGTCAAGAAGGAAAAAAATAGAATCAGTTTCGATCCTCAATCCTTATATTTCGTCAGTGCTTCTTTTGTCCTTCATTTATACTGTCTCCTGTCTCACTCTGGACAGGTCCAGGAACTGCAGAGTCCCCCGAGAGCTAGTCAGGTTGTGCGAGACTGTGTCAAAGCCTGCCTCAACTCCACGTATGACTACATCTTCAACAACTGTCAAGAGCTGTACAGTCGCCAATATTCTCAGATCGGAGACACGGTTAGACAATCACTCTTTTAGCACCCAGCATTCATGACTGTAATGCTTTGTATTCTCACAAGATTTAAAGCTGAAGTGTGTCATCTCTGGGCCAGAAGCTTCACCAAACAGTGTTGCAAAAACAGCCCCACCCCCAGACTAACACCATTAGTTGCTCTGCTGGGCTGTTGAGGATGCTTAAACACACCGTTCACACAGAATGTCTTTTCCATTGTTTTTCTATGTAAACATGCCCTAGATGGACGTGTTTGACTTTTGTACTCATGTCTCATCATATTTTGTAGCGTTTTGCTACAAAATGTCCCACTTGAGTTAAAAAATAAAAAAAAAAATCACTTTACACTTTTCATGAGATAAACAATGAATGACTCTCTATTTATTACTATTAATTATTACTGTTATAATGATACAAATAATTTTTTAAAACATTTTATATATTATTTCAGTTTTCATTTTAATTGTAGTATTTTTCTCATGTTCTTGTCACTTTTATTATTTATAGTTTTCATTAAATATTTTTATCAATATATTTTTACCTTTTTTAGTATTAGTACTTTTAAGATATTTACCAATGCATCATTTCTCAATTTCTTTCTTTTCATTTCTCTTTTTCTTTTTTTTTATTTCATGTAATATTTGTCTTTTTATATTATTTCAGCTTTATTACAATTAACAAAACCCTATTTTGTTTCTAAATAGTAAAGTTTAGTTAACAAAGCGCTGTTTACACATTAAATATAAAATGTCACATCACCTTTAAAATGTCAATTTTTGATCATTTAAAATACCAATTTAGAGTGTATATGTAATTCAAATGCTAATTTGAATTTAAATATATAGAAGTAATTAAAAGATTAATTATTTTACTGTGAATCAAGCAAATTATTTATGTTTTCTTTTTTTGCTCAGCATAAGGAGGAGTGCACCCCAGAAGATCAGGGCCCAAGCATCAAGAACTTGGATTTCTGGCCCAAACTCATTACGCTGATAGTGTCCATCATCGAGGAGGACCGTAACTCCTATACACCAGTCCTAAACCAGTAAGTGTGCACACAAACCAGAATCTCTGAAACTCTATTGTCCTGCCATCATGTGACACTTTGTTCCTGTTTCTCTACAGGTTTCCTCAGGAGCTGAATGTGGGAAAGTTGAGTGCGGAGGTCATGTGGAATCAGTTCTCTCAGGATATGAAGTACGCCATGGAAGGTAAGTACCAATTTGGTTCATTGATTGGGTATATTGGAGATGATGAGGTGTAATATTTTTTTGTTTAGCCACCATTTGTTGTTCATATTCACATGTTCTTATTCCACAGAACATGAAAAACACCGGCTGTGTAAGAGCGCAGACTACATGAACCTGCACTTCAAGGTCAAATGGCTGTATAACGAATATGTGAAGGATCTGCCAGCTTTCAAGGGAGTTGTGCCCGAATACCCCACGTGAGTGAGCTCTTCATCATCTCAACTACTAAACACATTCAGAAGTAAAAGCGTATTTTATTGTTGTTTGTTCACATTATGTCTTGCCTTTTCCAGGTGGTTCCAGCAGTTTGTGCTGCAGTGGCTGGATGAGAACGAGGATGTGTCCATGGAGTTCATGCATGGAGCCCTGGAGAGAGATAAAAAAGATGGAGTAAGATGTTTTTCAGTGCAATTCCCCTTTAATAGCCTGTTATCTTTCACACGTTCTCATCACAGAAGTGTTTCTTGGCTTTTATGATGCTCTTGTGCCCACAAAATGGTCATTTTGCTTTTCAAAACTGTACCATTTGCAAGTTTCTCAAGAGCAATTATATTAATTTTAGGTCGTCTGTACAAAAATTAGTTTCTTCCTGCTTGTTAAAGGAATAGTTCACGAAAAAAACAAAAACAATATACATTTGTTAACAATTTACTCACCCTCAGGCCATCCAATATGGAAATTAATTTATTTCCTAATATGAACAGATTTGGAGAAATTTAGCATTGCATCACTTGCTCACCAGTGGATCCTCTGCAGTGAATGGGTGCCGTCAGAATGAGAGCTGAACAGCTGATAAAAACATCACAGTAATCCACACAACTCCAGGGCATCAGTTAATGTCTTGGGAAGAGAAAAGCTGCATGTTTGTAATAAACTAATCCATCATCAAAACGTTTTCAACTTCAAACAGTTGCTTCTGGCTAAAATACAAGTGCTCTATTCATAATTTTGATTTCCCCAGTGAAAAGTTCTCTCTTCTGAATCAGGAGAGCAATATACACAGATCAAGCACTGTTTACAAGTGAAAACAGTCCAAAGAGACAAGAAGGGACAGTTTAAGTAAACATTTTTTAATGATGGGTTTGTTTCCTACAAACATGCAGCTTTTCACTTCACAAGATGTGGATTACTTGTGGATTATTGTGATGTTTTTATCAGAGGTTTAGACTATCTTTCTGACGGCACCCATTCACTGCAGAGGATCCATTGGTGAGCAAGTGATGCTAAATTTCCCCAAACCTGTTCTGATGAAGAAACTAACTCATCTAAATCTTGGATAACCAGAGGGTGAGTAAATTGTCAGCAACTTAAATTTTTTTTTTGTGTGAACTATTCTATATATATATAAGAAGGGACAGTTTAAGTAAACATTTTTTAATGATGGGTTTGTTTCCTACAAACATGCAGCTTTTCACTTCACAAGATGTGGATTACTTGTGGATTATTGTGATGTTTTTATCAGAGGTTTAGACTATCTTTCTGACGGCACCCATTCACTGCAGAGGATCCATTGGTGAGCAAGTGATGCTAAATTTCTATGAAGAAACTAACTCATCTAAATCTTGGATAACCAGAGGGTGAGTAAATTGTCAGCAACTTAAATTTTTTTTTTGTGTGAACTATTCTATATATATATATATATAAAAAAAAAGCATCATCCTCATCATACCTACATAATGAGGGATAGTCATGAAAATTGTCCAGTAATTGTGCTACAGTATATAAATAAAGGTGACCTGTCCTGACACAAAACTGAGTAGAAATTGCTTTTAAATAATGTGCTTTTGTCCCCTCTACAGTTCCAGCAGACGTCAGAGCACGCTCTCTTCTCCTGTTCGGTGGTGGACGTCTTCACCCAGCTCAACCAGAGCTTTGAGATCATCAAGAAACTGGAGTGTCCCGACCCCAAAGTCATGGCCCTCTACAGCCGCCGGTTCGCCAAGGTGGACCAGCATCCTTCCTAATCCAATTACAGTAGATTCATGTCAGAACAAATGTTGGCTGTCAGAGTATTATCTTGTTTCGAGAATTATCTATGATTTCTGAGAGAATGGCCCTGTTTTAGCCAAAGGGCATCTCAGTGCAGAGCAAATGAAGAATGTCAGTGAAGCAAAAACATTTGTCTGAAAGAATGAGATTCTATTGTAATCAAATCAAAATGCTTAATGCAGCCCTTTTCATTAAGCTTCAGTCAGTCCCCAGACCAAGTCTGGCAAGCTTCTCTGAGAGAAATGCATAGCTCCCTCAAGAATCTTTATCGGACACGTGGAGAGCTCATTGGGCTGATGTCCAGAGCGCTGAGTGCAGAGATGAGCCCCAGAGAGTTTCTACTAGATTTCCTGAAATGTTAGCCTGCTTTTTCATTTGTTTGCATGGTAATGCTATTACCAAGACATTTTGACTTTTGAAAAACGTTAAGCTCAGTTCTTATTTCTTTGTCTTCACAGACCATTGACAAAGTTCTGCTACAGTACAGTGCCCTTTTGAAGAAGAGCTTCCCGTCCTATTGTGATAAGGAGAAGATTGTAAGTCATTCTCCTGGTAGTTAAGGCTGACATTTCTGTTAGTTTGTCTAATAGATGTCTCTTTGTCTTTGCTCTTTCATTTGTGAAGTAGTTAATTTTGACTGTATACATATTTGTATATATGACATAATATACTATATATGTATATCTGAAAATATGTACGACATATCTGTTATTAATAATATACTATAAGACATTTAATATGAGCGTTTGTGTAAGTGTGTGTATACACTCATTTAATATGTGTGTGTGTGTGTAATTGTGTGTATACACACTTAATGTTTTATGATATGTGACCCTGGAGCACAAAACCAGTCATAAGGGTAAATTTTTTGAAATCGTCTCAAAGCTGAATAAATAAGCTTTACATTGATGTATGGTTTGTTAGGATAGGACAATATTTGGCCAAGATGCAACTATTTGAAAATCTGAGGGTGCAAAAAAAACTAAATATTGAGAAAATCGCCTGTAAAGTTGTCCAGATGAAGTCCTTAGCAATGAATATTACTAATCAAAAATTAAGTTTTGATATATTTATGGTAGGATATTTACAAAATATATTCATGGAACATGATCTTTACTTAATATCCCAATGATTTTTGGCATAAAAGAAAAATCTATAATTTTGACCCATACAATGTATATTTGGCTTTTGCTACAAATATACCCCAGCGACTTAAGACATAATTAAGTCACATATGTGTAAGTATATGTTTATTTATATTTATATTGATATATGATATTTATTCCTTATATTGATATTTATTCCATAGATTTATTTTAATTATATTATATTAGTAATTGTATTATATGTATAAATATTTATTTTTTTAAATTAATTTTTAAAAAATAAATCTGTAAAGTATTTTATTTATTATTTATTTATTTTTAAAACAAATTATTTTATTTTATTTTTGCTCACATCCCTGTTGATATTAAAATATTTGCTTGCATTTAAAACACATTTCTTGTACAGACTGCACTGTACGTTAATGTTTTTTTTGTCATCTTTTCTAATAAATCTCTCTGTGTCTTCCTCTTTGTCCTCAGCCATGCGTCTTGATGAATAATGTCCAGCAGTTGCGTGTCCAGCTTGAGAAGATGTTTGAATCTATGGGTGCCAAACAGGTAGGAGAGCAGCAGGGGAAGGTGACCTTCCCTAAGCAAAGTCATTTGTCCTCTCCTCATTTGTCTGGGACATCAGAGGACCTCAGCGGCCTGTTGTCTCTCAGCATATTAAGAGAACTCTCCCTGTTGTATCCAGATGGGCTCGATGCAGCATTGTTGTTTTGTCATTTATACAGTCGATGATTTGCTTGGAGGTTTATTTAGGCAAGATATAAATAAAGTGTTCTAGTCAGGGGTTTCACAACTGTTTTTTTTACTTGGATAATTTCATTATGCTTGACTTGTATTGCGTTCATTAGCGTATTGGCTGTTGTTAAAGCAGTATTTGTGTATTTTCTCCTCAGATTGCCACCGAGGAAGCCAGGGTATGACTAGAATTTAGATCGCTTTAGATGATAGGAAAAGTAGAGCAGTTTTTGAGCTATTGTGAATGATTGTAAACCTGAGGGTTTGCATTTTCTTCTAGATGACATGATTGCAGACTCTAGAAATACTGTATATAAAACAAGTGTTTAACATTATTTTTTTAAATAAAGTTGGATGCAATAGTGGACCCTGGGGAGGAGGAGGAAGAGGAGGTGGGTACACAGTGTCCCAAAATACACACATCTATAAAGTATGTGTGTTCCCAAAGGAACCCCGTGGACACTGATGCTTTGAGAGAGACTTATTATTACACTTTCTTCTGTGATTAATCAGGTTATCGAGGAAAATGTGAAAGATGGCGAGGTGGGTAAAAGTAGGCTAGATGTGTTAAATAGTTCAGCTCTGGCCATTCACCGTAACTCCAATCTAGTGAAAGCACATAGAATTAAAATGGAAACTTAGTTTTGAAAGTAGAGTAGTTGCTTGTGTTGTGCAGTATATTGAATTCATGCTTGATTAGAACCCTGATGTCATGAATCCTGTTGGAATTTGTTTGGTTATATTCATTCGGGGAGAATGAGAGATTGTGGTTTGTGTGTGTGTGAGAGAGTTGAGGCATTAGTTGAGTATGTGTCTCAGGCGGATTAGTAAAGGATTAATGAAGTCTTACGTACGTTTCTGTGCATGAGACAATGACATCGGATTCTCCACGTTGCTGATCTGTTTATTTTCAGTTTACTTGATATTTTATTATTATTTTGTTAGATTTGTTGGACAGCAGGACAGATAAATCCCAGTCTCGGATATAGGTTGTTGTAGTTGACTAAATGTTGTCTTTTAAACACTAGTTGGAAGATTTTTTTGTAAATGACAGTTTTTTCATCATTTATGTTCAAAAACTGAATCATTCTGATTAGGGATTTTTTTTTTTGTACTTTAAAAACCAAATCTTAATAAATTTTTCTTGTTTTTGTGCATAAACTGTGGAAGCCCATTTCCGCCATTGAATAAAAAAGGTAATTGCGACTTTTGATCTTGCAAGACTTTATACCTCACAATTGTAAGTTTATATCTCACAATTCTGAGAAAAATGTCAATTGTGAGTTTGTATCATGCAATTCTGAGAAAAAAACTTTTGAGATGAATTATGAGATGTGAACTTGCAATTGCGAGAAAAACAGTCAGAATTTTGAGATTAAAAGTCACAATTACCTTTTTTTTTTTGTTGTTATTCAGTGGCGGGAAAAAAAAAACGTTTTCTTGCAACATCCCTAAAAAACACCCTTAAAACCAGGCAAGTATGACTGCATATTATGAAAAATAGTTAATTGAAAGTGTAAAATGTAAAGTGTAGAGGGTGTAAAAACAAGTGAATTAAATTTAAAAAAAAATTTGAATTATAACCTTTTTTAGTCAAGGAAAAGAAACATTATTAAAACCTGATGAATGTACTTGAAGTATCATAAAGAAAAATAATCTCATATTTAATTTTCTCAGGATGAAAGTCTTAGTATCTCATGCAATTGTACTTCTCAAAGAACATTCAGCAGGTTTTAATGATGTTTTTTATGCACTGGAAAACTCATAACCTAGATAACAGATTACTTGGATTACTATAGGTGGTTCCAAAGGAGCCTGTCCCATTTGCATCCACATTTCAGGATGTATGTGTCTCAGAAAAAGACCAGAATCAAATGTATCTCAGGTTTACTCTACAAGGACGTCTGCTGGCCAGATATCTCCACAGCACACTGGTTAGGAAGGTGCTACATAACGGCAGGCTCGTATTTGTATGGTGGCACACATTAGCTTCAGTCTAATTGTATGATGTGGCTTCTGTCCCCAGCTGGAAGAGAGTGAGGATGAGGAGGACGAGTTACAGGAGGTTTGTTATTGAGATCATGGTTGTGTTTCATCCGTTATTGTCCTTTTAATCCAACAATTTCCCATAAGCGCCCCGTTCCAGCCCACAGACACGCCGCTGTCCCAGTGATCAGCCGTGTCTGAACTGTGTGTGAACTCCTATCCGTGCCTCAGCCCCTTGAACACTGGCTCACTGTGACCTTCATCTCGTGTCTGTGTTTTATGGGGGAATTTATTACATTCAGGAGAAAACGTCACTTCATGCCCTTCACAAATCTCCAACCCGTAACAGACAGTCAGTGTAGACTAAATTTCAAATCAATAAAGGGTGAAAAAATTATAGCCAGGGTTATACTGTATAGTAGCTTTTATGTAATGTACACTACTGTTCAAAAGTTTGGGTCACTAAGATATTATTCTTTAAAAAAAATAAAAATAAAAATAAAAAAAAATATATCTCTTTTTTTTTTTTTTTTTTTTTTTTTTTTTAGAATATCTTTATGCAGCAAAGATGCATTAAATTAATCAAGTGACAGTAAAGACATCAATACGTTACAAAAGATTTCAAATAAATGTTGAAAATAGCATTATGGTTACCACAAAAATATTAATCAGCACAGCATTGATAATAATAATAAATGTTTCTTAAGCATCAAATCAGTATATTAGAACGATTTCTGAAGGATCATGTGACACTGAAGACTGGAGTAATGATGCTGAAAATTCAGCTTTGCATCATAGGAATAAATAACTTTTTAACATATAACACCATTTTAAATATATATAGTATTTAAATTGTAATAATATTTGACAAAATTAATGTTTTACTTTTGTTTTTTTTATCAAATAAATGCATTGGAGAATAAAAGGCTTCTTTCTAAAACATGTTTGGTTTAAAAGCGCTAGTTGATATTACAGTTTTTATTTTTATATATATATATATATATATATATATATATATATACACACACACACACGGTAAAATCACAATAATAGTTCAACCCAAAACTTTGTATGTATTTACTGTTTGAATGGTATTATTTTCCTAAATCTTGGAATATTGCAAACCTCATATAAAAATATAAAATAAACCAATATTTAGTTTAACCTCTTGAGGTGAACTAAACCGTTTTCTCACTAGATGAAAAAATTCTATTCTGTACCTCGTTCATAGAAAGTGCCTTTTGGAATGTCATCTTTTCATTTTAATAACCATCACTCTAGTGTTGCCCCTGTACAGCACAGTTTTACTGTACATTTATATTTGAGTGATTGACAAATAAAAACAGATTTTGATAGATTTTTTTTTCCTCAACCCTGCCCATAGATGGATATCTCAGAGGGCAAGGTGTGTATCGACTCCCTTGAGTCAGAGAGTAATTAATTTGTCCCTGAATTTAAACATAAATGTACTTTTTTGCATATTACACATTCAGATATTCATCTTGTTTTGCACTTGGTACATAATTATACACCTGCCTAGAAACACACAGCGTCTCCCTGACATGCTGCTTCAACACTATTACTGAAACCACGCCGCCTTCTTTGCGTGAACATTTGGGCGGCATTATGCAAATATTTCCACATAGTGAGGTAGATATGTGGGGGCGTGTTAGAACTAGCCGTTTTAGGGGGGCGTGGCAGAGTCTTAACTTTGATAAAGAATATCTCTTTGGTTTTGAGACTTTAGTTTTTGCAACTTCAGGGATCTTATCTATGCACAATCAGCTTGTAACACTCCAAAGAGAAAGGAAAACTTGAAATCGCATCATATGACCCCTTTAATATATTCAGAATAAATTAAAGGTAGCACAAAAATGCTGCCAATATTTAGTTTACAAAATTTCAATATTTATAATGGTTGCAGCAATTGCTTCACAATTTATTTGTTTTGGGTTATATTAATGATAATTGGGAGGAATGTCAGCTTAGTGAAAATATTTGCATTTGCACTGTTATTTGCGTTATTCCCAGTGGTGATTCTCATTACTGTAATAAAGTATTTGTATTGTGACAAAACATACTGAAATAAATAAGCATAATAAATATCAATACATTTACATATATATTTATTATTAATTTTTATTATAATTAAGAGAATCAGAGAGGATGCTTAATTGACATGAAAAAAACAAACACGATTACAAAATCTCAGTTAGACAAACAGGCTATATTTTCTTCATACAAATTTCTTGACATGTTTCATTAGACTCATCCACGTTTGCAATTAAGTTAAACATATGTAGGTCATCATTCTATACTGTAGCTTTGGTGCTCTTTAAATGAATGTAGGTTCTAGTCTGGCTGGCATCATATCTCAAGATCTGTGTTGCGTAAAGATCAAAATCTCCTAAATTAATCTACATTAATTTCACACCTTTGCACAACTCCTCTTATGTCAGTCTAGCATGTTTCTTCTCGTCGCTGAACTCTGATCTTCCTCTGTAGCTTCCAGAGCCGCATTGATGACTGCATGCGTCAGATGGCCAGTCTGCTGTACCAGATCAAGGGTCCCGTGAACGCCAACACCCGTAACCAGGTGGAGGCCGACTCCGATAACATGCTGCGGCCTCTGATGGACTTCCTGGATGCAAAGTGAGCAAAACTCTCCTCACCTGTACAGAAACTATTATTACTGTACCTGAAGCCTGTCCTGATCTCTCTCTGTGTGTGTGTGTGTGTGTGTGTGTGTGTGTGTGTGTGTTTGCGAGCAGTCTGATGCTGTTTGCCTCAGTGTGTGAGAAAACCGTGCTGAAGCGAGTGCTGAAGGAGCTGTGGAGAATTGTGATGAACAGTCTTGAGAAGACCATCATCCTTCCTCAGGGCAATGACACCTTTGTAAGAACTGGATGACTAGATGGATCTTAAATACATTGTCATTTTTTCCCAGACAAAACTGCTTAAAATGCTTTTACGTTTTATTATTTAGTCCCTAACAATGTTATTTGACCCCTAAACAGTTCATTTTAAGAGCCAGTGGCTTGATAGCAATTTTTTTTGCCTGGAACCTTTTGAGTGTTTCCTGTAAGAAATACATCGTCTTGAATGTGTTTTTAATTTAATTTTAATTTAAATCCATGTTTTACATGTAAAGATTTCTTTGCCCACTCTGACGCTGTAACATTTTTATCTCTTCCTGGCAGGGAATGATCTTTTCAGCGGCTAAAGAACTGGGTCAGCTCTCCAAACTCAAGGTAGTGCTCCAGGCTTGTTTAATCCGGACTATGATCTCTTTAAACCAGCTCAGAGCTCAGCAAGAGAATACAGATGAAGAGCCTCGGTTTAAATGCTATCTACATGTTTCTGTACCATCACATGCTTAAAACGGTGTGCTTGTAAACAGAATATCCCATCAAACCTTTGGCCAGAATTTCTCTGTATTTCTGACACCACTTTTCTTGTAATTGTGGTTTTTATATGCAACATGTGACTTTATATATCACTGTTGCAACCTTATTTCTTATAATTGTAACTTTTGTTCTCTTAATAACCTTTTCTTCTTTTTTTAAATTAGTTCATTCTTGTAATTGATTATTTTTTTAAATAATTAGTTCCCTCGTTTTAAGTAAATTGTGTGCTCGATATACTGTAATAATTCGTTCCCTCATTTTAAGTAAATTGTGCACACAAAATTAACTATTTTAGATAAATCATGTGCATGACAGGAAGTGTAACGAATTATTATTTTGTGCACAGGATTTACTTAAAACGAGGGCACAAATGATTATTTCGTGTGCACAAGTTAGTAAATGGTGCGCACAATTTATAATTTTTTTCCTGCATGACATGTTCAGAGCTCCATAGTTTTTTTTACTTTGAAATGGAAAAAAAGTTTCAATGGGTTTCTGGTGTCAGAAATACAAATATATTCGAACCACTGCTTATAATTACAAATTGATTTATTCAGTCATCTATTCAGTGTTCAGATAATCCCGTGGCTAAACCAACTGATTTCGATTTGTATTAGAGGTCATTTTATCTCTTGTATGGGTTTTTAATGTTATTTGGCTCTGTAGGATCACATGTCTGGTGAAGCTAAAAGCTTGACGCCCAAGCAGTGTGCGGTCATGGACGTGGCCCTTGATACCATAAAGGTATAAATGACATTTTCTTTAAAAGCAGCAATACATTTCCATGTTGTTTCATAGCAGTGGTGTGTACACATCTAATATTTGATTATTTGCTATCCACTGCAGCAATATTTCCACGCTGGAGGAAACGGTCTGAAGAAGGCCTTCCTGGAGAAGAGTCCTGAACTGTCCTCGCTGAGACATGCACTGTCCCTCTATACCCAGACCACCGACACGCTTATCAAGACGTTTGTCACTACTCAGCATGCTCAAGGTGACACATCCACTCCCATTTACTCCTTATGTTGTTCAGAACCTGTATGACTTTCTTTCTTCTGTGGAACATATGATTTCTCATTTCCTGTTTTAATTTCTTTAATTCATGTAATTTGATCTCCTAGAGATGAGTTTGTAAAACAATACACTAGGTGGCAGTATTGAGCTGTGGACTCATTTGTGTACTTTTTGTAAAGAAACTTTCTCTTCTTCAAGCTTTATCTGTCTCTTACTCCTTGTGTCTACTGTCCATGTTTCTCTGCTGTTGTTACGGTTCTCTGTCTTGTTTTTAACACTTTGCTTTTGAACTTTGTCTCTTCCCATTCTTTTCTGCTTCTGTCTCTGCTTCAAGTGCATAATGGGAAGGGTATGAGGATAACACCTAGTGAGAAAATACAGCCGTCTAGGGGTAGGTCACCACAGACTCCCTGAGACCCAAGTACCCTCTCACGAATAATCACAGCCCCCCTCTCCAGATCTGTTCTTAGATGTGTTTTTTTTTGTCCTCTGATGTGGTGAATCTCACATTTAATCCCAAACTTAAAGAAATATTATTTTACAGTAAGGAAATCAAGCCTATTTTAGAATCATTAAAGACCCCATGAAATTGCTTAATTCTTTTAAGGCAGGTTGTATTCGTGGTATTTTCATTCTAGAGAGCATTTAATTGGACAAAAATTTGGACATGTCCATAAGTGCAGAATGACTTGTCAAAATATCTGTTGTCCTGGAAAATTTTTCATCTAGATGACCGCAATGCTAACGTGGATTAAAAGCCACAAAACATTTCACATTTCTTCCCCCAATGAGCTCGATTTAATCCAATTTAGGCTCTGTGTTCCCATCGTCATTGTCATTACTTCCTTTTTTTCTATAAATTTGGACACAAGCCCAGCTTGTACATCTTTCCTTAAGTTTTTCTTAAAAGCTCCACCATGCATGAGAGGCCTGTGTTTTACACTGTGTGTGTCACCCAAAAGTGAGCTAAACCTGTCCTCCTTTAGGGGACATTTAAGGACGTTCTCATTTGTAACAAGAAGATAAAAATAAAACCTTTTTTTTTTTTAATCATTGTTAGAATGCAGGGTATTTTCTGTGAGAGTTAGGATTAGGTTGTAGTATTTATAACTAGCTCAGTGTAAAAACAGCAGTAGTCTATGGAATGCCATAATTTTGATAACTAATGGCGCTTTTCCACTGCGTGGTACAACTCTGCTCGGTACGGCTCGGCTCGGCACGATTTGCGTTTCCATTGCAGTTCAGTACCGCTTTAGATTGGACGGGATTATTCACGTCGTTATAGTTGTACCGCCTATACTGCCACAACTCCTAAAAAAAACTGTTTCATTCCGCATCGCCCTATCAAGCTCTCGCTGGATCCGCTCCTCTGCTATCAACGAGAGGAACGTCTGTACTTCCACAACAGACAACAAAACTTTTTGGTTGTTAAAAAAAATGTGCGCTCATTCAAAACGGTTGCGTTCGATCCTTCGCTGGCTGTGCTGATTTAAATCTAGCGGTTCTTTTGTGTTTGTGTCGCAAGTTCAGTGACGCAGGTAGTGACGATTCTCGCCGGCCAATCCGTGATCAGCAGAGTTTACACGTCACGTTTTGGTAACGGTACGGTTCACTTGGAACCTCAACCGAGGTGGTACTAAAAAAAGTACCAGGTACTGTACCCAGTGGAAAACCCCCCAAAAGTGAACCGTACCGAGCCGTACCATGCAGTGGAAAAGCACCATATGTAATATGTGTGTGTGTGTGTGTGTGTAGGCTCAGGAGTTGATAAACCAGTAGGTGAAGTATCCATACAGATCGACCTCTTTACTCATCCGGGCACAGGAGAGCATAAAGTTACAGTTAAAGGTAAGTCTAATTGTATTTTTGCCATGTTTAAGCAAGCTTTATCTGTCCCACAGGTGTATTTTCTGATGGCTGAATTACATTTCTTTGTTTCCAGTTGTGGCTGCTAATGATCTGAAGTGGCAGACGTCTGGGATGTTCCGGCCATTTGTGGAGGTCACCATGATCGGCCCTCATCTCAGCGACAAGAAGCGCAAATTCACCACCAAATCAAAGAACAATAGCTGGGCGCCCAAATTCAACGAGACCTTCCATTTGTGAGTGCAAAACCTAGTCATTCACAACTAATGAGATTAATGAATAACAGTACATTAAACAATGATGTATGAGGAAACAAATGGACTACAAAATGGACGCCCCTCTCTCTTTCACAATTTTTGAAAAAGAAAAAATTATCATTGTAAAAATAATATTGCCAGAACACCAAAATAAAACATTTGAAGGCTAAAAAGGCAAAACGGATGACATGGATGGATGAACAGAGACAGATTGATGGATGGACAGATAGACGGATGGGTGGATGCATAGATGGATGGATGAAAAGACAGATGGGTGGTTGGATGGATGAACAGATAGGCAGATTGATGGATGGACAGATAGACGGATGGGTGGATAGATGGATGAACAGATAGATGGGTGGATGGATGGATGAACAGATAGGCAGATGGATGGATGGCTGGATGAATGACTAGATGGATGGATGAATGACTAGATGGATGGATGGATGAACGGATAGACGGGGATGGATGGATGAACAGATAGACAGATCTGTGAATGGAAGATGGATGGATGGATGAACAGATAGAGGGATGGGTGGATGGATAAACAGATAGATGGGTGGATGAATAAATGGATGACCAGAGATAGGTGGGTGGGTGGATGGATGGATGGAGGAACAGATAGATGGGTGGACAGATGAAAGGATGGGTGGGTGGGTGGATGAACAGATTAGATGGGTGGAATGACATGAACGGATGGGTGAATAAATGGGTGGATGAACAGATACGCAGATGGGTGTGTATTAATTATTGCAATTTTAAAAATAAAACAATAAAACATTTGTATTATACACACTTGTATTAAAAACTTGAATTATAAATATTGAATTATTAAATATTTATTTGACAATATTGGACATTTAATTGTTCATTTAAGTTTGAATTTTTTTCAGACAAAATTCTATATATTTTAATGTAGATTGTAGTATCATGTGTATGAGCAAGAATTTAAATATGCATTTATTACTGCATCTCTGCATTCAATAAGATTTTTAAAGAGCAAAGAGAGAATGACTACTAGTGAATCATTCTTGCACCTTCTCTCTCTCTGTGCAGTATTCTTGGGAACGAGGATGGGCCGGAGTGTTATGAGCTGCAGGTGTGTGTGAAGGACTACTGCTTCGGCCGTGCGGACCGTGTGGTCGGTATTGCCATCATACAGCTGCGTGATGTTGCGCCGAGGGCCAGCTGCGCCTGCTGGTGTCCACTGGGCCCACGGATACACATCGATGACACGGGCCTCACCGTCATGCGCATCCTCTCCCAACGCTCGGGTGACGAGGTGGCCAAAGAGTTTGTGAAACTCAAGTCTGAGACACGCTCGGCCGAGGAGGGGAGGTGAGGACGTTCCTGCAGCAGAAGATAATCTCAGACCCTTAAGTGTTGGCTGGATGTCAACACTGTCACCTTTTTGTGTCCACACCAATATTTTTGCTGCCCACTGACAACCACAGAGAAGGGCTTTCAGTGGCACGAGAGAGGCCATGTGACATGCTTTATAAAGAGCACTGTTAGTGTAGCAGTGGATGAGGGGGAGTCATCCAGAAGAAAAGACTGAACACAATATTTTTGTTTTTTCCATATATTGATATAAAAAAAACACACTCATCCAGCCACTAACAAACTAGCAAAGGACTAGTTAGGGTAGATACCAGTAGTGAGGGATAGACAAACAGTCCTGGGTTGTATTGTTCCAAAATGTAGTCTAATTTAGTTTTTTGTCCATTGGATATTTTTTAGATGATGCATATGGGTGAATCTCATGAAAACATTTGGCTCAAAAATTAAATATACAATATAATTAAATATTGCATTAAATATAATTAAAATAAGAAATGATTACATTAAATGAATAAAATAAGAAATACAATATTACATTTATAATGAATTCTGTTTTCAAAAAAATTGTACATGTGGAATTATTTTCTTGACTAAGTTAATTTCCTCATGAAACTCATATTTATTAATTAATTGTTTTACTAATAATTGTAATGGTGATTTTTTAACAAGTAAATGTCATACAATAAATATGTATTTAATATGCAAGTGCTGTGATTTTATATGAATATATGACACTTTGATATATTAAAAATAAAATAATATCATAAAAATAATTAATATAAAACAAATAAATGTATTTTACAATGGAAATAATCTTAAATTATTAAAAATAGACTTATTTTTTTTTTCTTTTTTTTTTTGGAGTTGAACTTTGACCCAGACATTTTTTTATGAAATGCATCCATTTTCAATGTTTTGATAAATGTAATGATCATCGCAAAAAGCAAAACCAGACATGTTTATCCCTCACAAAAATGTTTGCAAGAAAAAAAAATGCTGTCACTCGCTGACTTGAGGTCCTTTGACATCCAACCAGTAGATGGCGCTGTGAGTGTGCTGGGTCATTAGTGTCTGTTGTAGAATAGTGATTCCACATCCATTCGTGCACTTTTTCTCTGTTAACACCCCTTTTGCCATGTATTTATTGCCTTATTTTGTTGATGCTGTGAATGTGTCAAGTTGAAATGATTATGATTGTTATGAACGTTGTGGCTCCAGAGACCGTGTTTGTGTCCTCGGGGCCAGATCTCATTCACTTGTGATTGTGGAGTCATCCGTTGCATGAATGAACCAGAATAAGTAATCCGAATGGACAACTTGGGGTGGGGGAGTTTGTAGAGAGATATCAAATACATTTCACTCCATTACCGAGTCAGCTCACAACGTGACGCATCCGTCAGCCGAAAGTGTGCCTTTCTTATAGGCTTTGTGACCGCTCAGATGATGGATGACCTGTTTGCACCTCAGCCCACTGATCTTCTGCCTCTTATGGTCACCATTCATTTCAAAAGCGAGCGGTACTTCAGCCATCCTCTATGACCAGTAGGTGGCAGCAATAATCTCGAGTTCACATTTACACCTGCTTCATCACCCACACCAAAAGACAATGCAGCATCATCAGACAGTATTGAAGCGAAAATGCGTGAATGCTTTAATGGAGTGTTGTGTAATAATTTTCAATACTTTGTCGTGGAAAGAAAGCGCTGAAAAAAATCAGCATCAGCTGGGGAGGGAAGATACGAACATAAACTAATATCAGATCAAGCTTAAATGCGATCACTGATCAATAAAAGATGAGTAAACATTTTTTTCCCGTTTCAAAGCGGCCTTATTTATTCTGATATTTTCTGTTTAAATGACTTTAACTTTCCCTCTTAAGTAAAAATTAGTCCTTTTTTTTTTTTTTGCTGTGAAGTCTTGTTACTCCGTTTCTTTGTTTTGAATGACTGACTTATTTTCTTTAGTTGTTCATTTAGAGGAATTTTATACTGTTGTGCTTTGGTTTTCCAGAAACGACTGCAAAAACAAAGACAGTAACACTAGATTTGTCCCCTCGTTTGTTGCCTGTGCAAAAAGTCTCACCTTGTTAATCCAAATTTCAATGTAGTATTTTTCACAAAACACTGCCAATATGTAAATGTATGTTGATATTGCCAATCATTATTGTGACTGTTGAACCTGTTATTTATTTCTGTACATTTCTCACTTCTAACTCTGTGTCACTTTATATACTGTTACCGTTGTTTAGGCCAGCAGTGTTTGGACTGTATTTTAGGAGGGAACTGTCACTCTTTGTAATATACACATTCCTCGTGCCAACTTGTGGAAGTTCTCACTTTATTTTTAAACTCTTGAAACAATACTGACAAGTAATACTGGCATGTATGGGACTTTACTCCGTTTACTCACATTTTTGAAGTTATATTGGTATTGTACACGGTCACTGACAAGGAAAAATGTGTTATTAAAATGTATGTGTGCACACTCCAACAAATGAATTTATACATAAAGTCTCTTAAACTAATGCTTTAAGCTGGTTTGATGTTATTTTGTAAAGAAAAAACCATTTGAATGAGGAGTATTTCACTGAAACATTTGGCAAGCTTTCGCTCGTAACTTTGATTTCAGTATGTGGAAGCACAATTAAAACTACAGCAAAATGAACCACACCCAGACCTACTGCATGACTTGAGAAGACTTGACATATAGCGCACGACCAAATATGAACTGCTTTTATAGTGCCTTTATTTTAGCGTCTGTCCCCATTTACCTGCATTATATGGAAAAGAGCAGCATGAACATTCCGCATAACTATATTAATTGTTCATCCACAGACCATACAGGTTAAAAACGTCAAATGACACATTTTTATTTTTGAGGGAACAGTTCCTTTTCTCTACTCTTTGTTGCCTGAATCAACAAAAGAGATAATAAAACAGCCCTTTCCTGCAGCTGACGTGTGACAATAGTACGCCGTAAACGCAAGCGTGACCTGTTTTTGTAGTGTTTTGATGGCCTGTACTAAGAGATCTGTGCAATATCTCACATTAGATATTGTTGTTTATCCTACATAGCAATTAGAGTGCATAGAAGAACTGTACTGAGCTATGAACGAGCAAACCTCTTGAGCAATAAAACCATTCATAGCTGTCCAAATCTGAGCTACCCTCTTAAAAAGTAGGTCTTTAACCTTTAACATCCAGGGACCTTTTCCATTCTCTATAGTAAAAAATCTAAGTCCCTTTCGGAACCTTTATTTTTAAGAGTTTAAACTATGCAAATGAGGTTTAGATTGGAAGGATTTTACATTATACCAAATTTCAGCCAGTTTCCAGCGACTACGTCATTCACTCGTCTGACTGTTTTACCAGCTTCCCTCTTCCAGCCCACCAGAGTCCAAAGATCATCCACTGTTTGCCTTCTGTCTGTCCCTGGACGTGCTATACTGTAAAATCTCTCTGTTACCGTCAAGCTTACGCAGTTGTCCAATTGCTAACCCCCTTCTTAGGCCACAACTGCAGCCGCTGGCTCCACCCAGCCCTGAAAACCTCTTCCTGACGTCAGGTTACACCCTTAATTTTCACCTGTACTCTAAGGAAGGGGCCTCGTTTGCTGTTGCATTATGGGAACTGTAGTGTTCTTTTCCACGCATGTTTATGGGGTGGTGGTTTATTCTGAAACGCTGTTTCTCTAGGGATCCTGGATGGCAGACGTGTAACTCGGGTATGACACCCTCAGCTGGTGACCTTTTCTGATTTTATTAATGTTTAGTGAGCTAAGAAAGGGAGTATGTTAGACTTCTAAAATGTTCGTTTTTTCACTCTCAAACTTGAGTTACCTATTGACATTAGCTAGAGGCACTTGCACCTGTGATGAAGTGCTTAGTTAAAAAAAATATATACCGAACTTGAGTATGTTACTATTAATATTTAACATACCTGTTTCAGTATATACAGAGAGAGAGGAGTATAGATTTGTCAAATGTGAAGTTGAACAGGAACATAACGTTCAAAATTGCTACTGTAAAAACCTGTTAACTAGTTAACCGTGAGTTACCTTACTATGAAATTACATTTATAAATATAATACATGTAATTTCATGGTAAGTTATTACTAGTAATGATTGTTTACATACAAGTAAATAGTATTTATTGCCTAGTTATTCATGTAGAAGTAGGCATTTCCTGTGTGACCCATCACATTTGTTTTATTTACATGTTTTTTGTCAATAGTTATGTGAATATGAGTCTTTTATGCTAATTTATGTTATTTTAGTTCATGTATATTGCATTGTTTCCTATTTGGCACTATTACATATTTAACACTGTGTTCTTCATAGTATATTTCATGCTTGCTAGAAAGGCCATTTTGAACTTCATGTAGCCTCGTTGTATCATTATGCTGGTTATTATATGTAAAAATATTAAGCAAATCATTTTATCTGAAGTCTGTTGGTATATTAACATATCATAAATTAAACAGTCACCGCAAAAGCTTTCATCACTTTTAGTAATGCATGAATCATCGTCACTTTTTATGTTAACGTTCTGCCAACCACAGCTTCAAGTTTTAAAGAAATGTAACAAAATATAATAATAATAAGAATAATAATTAGTCACGTGCATTCGAAAAATCCACACCCTTCTGAGATCTTACATTTTAAAGGATGCTGTGTTAAATTTGTGTCTTCGAAGTGAATGATTTCACTTGAAATGTTTCGTTTTTTATACTTCTAGTGATTCCTTTCATGGGCGTTGGCAATGTGTTGACTTTTGAGCGATTCCAGTTGTTTAAGATTGGGTAATGATAATATTAGATTAGATAAAGAGAGTGAGATGAAGGTGGGTGTGAGTGTGAGTGTGGTCTAATGTTCAGGGTTATGAGCAGCTACCTACAACACTTTTCACTAATTCAATCATTTCTAATAGGGAAAATAATTCATTTTGATACAAAATAGCCTTTTTAGATGCTGTGTTTTTTATGTATTGATTTTCAGTTTTATTTTTTGACATGTAGACATAATCATTTGGCCTCTAACAGCAATTACAATAATTAGTTATCCTTATTTAAGATCGTCTCTGTGTTATATGAACGAAGGCTAACGTCTGAAAACGGCTGCCAGGTGAATAATCTGTGAGATCAGGAAGCACGGCTGTGTGTGTATGGAGAAGGCCTACATGCGCCTCTCATAAATACCCTGCGCTGATAAGACGAGAGCTGTAAAATACACTGAACTTTCTGCCAGTTTATCATTAACCACAGCTAGACACTAACAGAAAGATATCATAATGCATTATGATCAGACTCTATCCAACCTGCAGTTTCTCTGATTTCAATGCTTTGAAGCTACATAAACTGGCTTCAACATCCCTAATTCATCTCTAGCACTAATGAACCTATAGAAAACTCTAGAACAGGCTGTTATAATGTTCAAACATGTAAATATGGTCACATGGTATTTCAGGGATTTTTCTTTTTACTTAAACAAGGGTTTATTCTTATCATATAAAACACACCATATGCCAACCATTAATGACAAATACTTCAAAAAACAAATTGTAATATCTAGCATCCCTGGCTGTGACCTTACATAAGACAATGCAAACAATGATAGCCATTACAAATCAAAATGATAAAAGTCAAAGATAATTACACAATAGATTGGATACAATTCAGCTGGTCCTTATGATTATACAGCTCTTTACTGCAGAAGATTTTTAAATTAGGTGTAAGTTTTGTAGTTTTCTTCACATTTAATACTTTTTTAATTGAATCAGTTTTAAATTTTTGGTTTCTTAAAATGTGTTTTCACGGTTGGCTTTTCTTTATCAGCGTGACGATGTGATCAGAGAAACATGGGCTCCCTGCTGTCTGCGTTTGGAATTAACGTGAAGGAAAAAAAAGTAGAAGGTAACATATGTAACCAACTACACCGAACACAGTTTGAAGCCTGAAATATAAAAATAGTGTTCTAGAACATTTTCTTGTTGTATCTTTTGACCAAATGCATGTTCCAAAATGAATTTGTGATAAATAAAAAGTCATGGTTTCAAACAGGTTGAAGAGTGAAAAATGGATGAATGTTCAAGTGGGTGACATTGTCAAGCTGGAAAACAATGAGTTTGTCACAGTAAGTTTATAGCAGGCCTATTGATGTTACACTACACTATAACACTATATAACACTCCAAACATGTAATAAATACAGTATATGGCAAACAACTGTCTGATGATGTTGCCAGAACAGTGTTGTTATGGTTAACTAAAACTATTTTGTTATTTGAAATAAAACGAAATATAAAAAATTTGATGAAAATGTTTAGGTTAAAAAAGTTACTAAATTAAAAGGCAACTGTATGTAAGTTTTTTTTTTTTACCTTGAAATACCAGTTTGCTCACCAAACGTACCAAATTAAATATGCAAATTCGGTGAGGGAAATTCGCAAAAGGGGCGGATTGCTTTAAAGGGGTCATATGATGCGATTTCAATTTTTCCTTTCTCTTTGAAGTGTTACAAGCTCTTGGTGTATAAAGAAGATCTGTAAAGTTGCAAAGACTAAAGTCTCAAATCCAAAGAGATATTCTTTATAAAAGTTAAGAGTCAGCCACACCTACCTAAAATGGCTCGATCTAACACGCCCCCACATATCTACATCACTATGTGGGAAGATTTGCATAACACCGCCTAAATGTTCATGCAAAGGAAGAAGGCGTAACTTTTATTCTCGCTGTAGTTTTATTGTTTCCAGCAACGCAACGCGTAAAAAGACAGTATAAGTCATTATAATCCATAATTATGTGTAATAATTATACTGGATGCAACGAATGCCTCGTTTATAATGGGTTTTAATGTTTTTGTCTCGTCGCTCCGGCCGGACAGGGCATCACAATATGGTAGGCGTGTAACATTTCCATCTCACGCTTGAGGTATTCGGCCAATCACAACGCACTGGATAGCTGGCCAATCAGAGCACACCTCGCTTTTTCAGACCGATGAGCTTTGTAAAAATCGCGTTTCAGAAAGGCGGGGCATAGAGGAGAAACAATAATGTACAGTATTTGGAAAATAATGTGTTTTTTGAACCTTAAACCGCATAAACACATTTCATTACACCAAATACACAAAATACTGTTCTTTTTTAGCAACATCATATGACCCATTTAAGGCAGCAACAAATGCACGTGTATCTGGCTTGAAAGCATACTGCAAAAACCGGAAGCTAACAATAAATTACATTTTCTACCTATTAGATTGTGTTTTATTAACGTCTACACCTACCGCCAACCCTAAACCTACCCCTTACAATAATGCAAAAACAGTAATTATTGTTGTGCAGTGTGTATTGTTTGTACATTACGACAGAGATGTATTTACGACAGTGAACTCCACTCACTTAACTGTAGGGAGCTCCAAAGTCACAGAAATACACAAAACTACATACATTTGGTTTAAGTTGAATTACTACTGAACTAAATCTGAAATAAAAATTTATGAAAGCTAAATAGCTTAAAAAAACTAAAAATGACTAAAGCACATAAAATTACTAAATCTTAAAATAAAATTAAAATGAAAACTGAAAAATATTTAAAAAATAAAAGCAACATATTTATAAAAACAATAATAGTATGTAAATAATTCTAAAATAACATTGTCAGAACTCAGAAACATAAAGTTAATAAATAAATAACAAGAACTGGTTTCTTACTGTTATTTTTCAGTCTTTTTAGTCATTACTACTGTATGATACACTTAGAAATGAACCTATCTCTATTGTTTCCTGTGCTACAGGCAGATTTGTTGTTACTCTCTAGCAGTGAACCTCTCAACCTCATCTATATTGAGACGGCTGAGCTGGACGGGTTAGTATCTAAGTATATGAATGTAAACATGAACTTGTTCATCTGTTATTATTGTGTACCAGAGCCATCGTCTGCCTCTCTTTCCTTGTCTGTCATAGGGAGACCAACCTGAAGGTGAAACAGGCTCTGACACACACAGGAGACCTGGGCAATGACATCCAGAAACTTGCAGCATTCAATGGTGAGCGACAGATGCACCTAATATGTCTGCAAAGAATCTTCACAATATCAGGTTGCTAGGGCATTGCTAAGTGTTTTGTAAGGTGTTCTGAGTGGTTGCTAGGGCATTACTAATAGTGAACTGCATAAAGGCATGCCTGCTGTTTACAACACTTCATATATAATATAACACGAGTCTCCCTATTAAATACAGTATTGTATATCTCAGGTGAGGTGCGCTGTGAGCCTCCAAACAACCGTCTGGATAAGTTCACAGGAACTCTGACGGTGAGAGGAGAGACGTTTGCTCTGGATAATGAGAGGATTCTGCTCAGAGGATGTACCCTCAGAAACACAGAGTGGTGCTTCGGCCTGGTGGTGTTTGGAGGTGCGTAATCACAATCTAGAAATGGCTGTATGAAATCTATATTTAGGTTTTCTATATTTAAAAGCTTTCTTCAAATCCATTTAGGTCCTGACACAAAACTCATGCAGAACTCTGGCAAATCCATCTTCAAGAGAACCAGCATTGATCGTCTCATGAATGTCCTGGTGATCTTTGTAAGTAGATGTGTGTAATTATGTTCATAAAAATGTTTGAGAGTAATAAAATGTTTAATTTCACATCCTGCTTATTTGTTTGTTAGATTTTTGGTTTTCTGGCCTTCCTGTGCACCATCTTGTCCATTGGGAATGCCATTTGGGAATACCAAGAGGGGAATTCCTTCATTACTTTCCTCCCCAGGGCTGATGGGGCGAATGCATCTCTCTCAGCATTTCTCACCTTCTGGTCCTACGTCATCATCCTCAACACTGTGGTTCCCATCTCTCTCTATGTCAGGTCAGATGCTGCAATAACTTATATTACGTCAAAATCTAGATTTATATCTTCAATTCCTGGAAAATGAAAATTCTGTCATTATTTACTCACCATGTCATTCCAAACCTGTATGACCTTCTTTCTTCTTCTGGAACATAGAAGATATTTTGAACAAATTTTGGTAATGGTAACAATGGAAATCAATGGGAACCCAAACTGTTTGTTTTCCAACATTCTCAACATTTGATTTTAAACAATGTAAAACAAAGTAAGTTATGATGCAAAATGAGAAAGATATATTTATACAAAATACAACAAAAATAGTTAAATCTTTCAAATTATTTTGCTGATATTATAATTTGTAATAAAAGAAAATAGTATAAAATTATTTTAAAAATGCTAGTGAACTTTTTTTGCCCTTTCAATAGTGTTGAGATCCTTCGTCTGGGGAACAGTTATTTCATTGACTGGGACTGTAAAATGTACCACGTCAAGAGTAACACACCAGCCCAGGCAAGGACGACCACTCTCAATGAGGAGCTGGGTCAGATCAAATATATCTTCTCTGATAAGACGGGAACTTTAACCCAGAACATCATGACCTTCAACAGGTGCTCCATCAACGGAAAATCATATGGTAAGAGCTCAAAGAGTTGTCACAGAGTCAACAATTTCAACTAAAGGGTAGAATTGAACTGTTTTTATGTTCCTCAGGTGAGGTTGTGGACTTTGCTGGGCAGAGGGTTGAAGTTACTGAGGTTAGTGGTCAAAACATTGACAAATTTATTTTATTTTATTTTTATAACTAAAAAGCTACAGGTAAGTCCATAGTTGGTGTCCTAAGGACAATGTCACAGTCTCTATATGAGAAGTCAAAAACTGTATTACACAAATGCATATTTTCTCTAGAAGCGGTTTTGTTTGTTTAACTTTAAAGGGGTCATATGATGCGATTTCAATTTTTTCTTTCTCTTTGGAGTGTTACAAGCTCTCGGTGCATAAAGAAGATCTGTAAAGTTGCAAAGACTAAAATCTCAAATCCAAAGAGATATTCTTTATAAAAGTTAAGAGTCAGCCACACCTACCTAAAACGGCTCGTTCTAACATGCCCCCACATATCTACGTCACGATGTGGAAAGATTTGCATAACGCCGCCCAAATGTTCACGCAAAGAAAGAAGGAGTGACTTTTATTCTCTCTGTAGTATTGTTGTCGCCGCCGCCATGTCGTGAAGGCGCTGTGTGATTCGTTGTGAAAGCGAAAATACTTTGTTTGGCCTTCCAAAAGAGGACGATATCGCTTCGTCATGCCTGGAGCTGATCCGTGCTGGTTGCTGAGGAAATACTACAACTTTGCGCTGTCGATCGCCGGATCGGCTTTCACCGTGGACGAAGCGGAGTCCAGCCCGGGGTCGTCACATGTGGTTGCCGCAAGCCCTTCGGATGCTCCTTCGTCGAATCCGCTGGCCGTGCCGTTCTCAAGCCTCCCCGCCACCGCTCACTGTAGCCCGCCGGCCGTTTCTCACTCTAGCCCCCGGCCTCTGCTCACTATAGGCCGCTGCCGCTCACTCTAACCCTCCGGCCGTTCCTCACTCTAGTCTCTGCTCACTCTAGGCTGCCATGTGTGACGCTGTGTTTCATTGTGAAAGCAAAACTACTTTGTTTGGTCTTCCAAAAATGGACATGACTTTATTTGTTCTTATTTTATTACTTACTGGTTACTTGTCATTTTTTATTGAATTGAATCTCGTGCTACTGCACCAAAATTACCCCACTGTAAAAAAACACTGTGTGAGCAAAAATTTGTGAGATAGCTAGTTATAATGGTAATTAAATAATGTTTACATATGTATAAAAGCCTACATTAAAATCTGTCATATAAATTGGTCTCTTCAATAGAAATTAGCCTACTGATTGCCACCATTGATGGATATTTTGATGAAAATATCTGTATAACATTATATTCTGCAGTTCTTCCCTGTTGTAACGAATATACTTTTCAAATGATCATATCGAAGTTAGAAATTCAAATATTGTGACAAAATTAATTTTGTAGGGTG